ACAGCTTGCGGCTTCACAGCCGGATGCCCACTGCGCATGCTTAAGTTGTCGCATTCTGATTGGTCCGGCAGTCTTTTGGGACCTCTGAAGGTTCCCAGGAGACTGCTGGAGTCAGGAGGGGGCCGAACTTCCAGCTCACTTCGCCGCAGCGAACTGAGGTGGGAGTGGGTACCTGTCAAAAATAGGTAACCACTAACCCCCCCGAAAAAAAAAAAAGTGCCAAATAAGGCAGTGGAGGGGGAGGAGGCAAACAAGTGGAGCTTCCACTTTTGAGTGGAGCTACGCTTTAAGGTATGAAAAGTCTACCTATTAGAAAATATACCTATGTACATTTTGTGCTGTGAGTCCCTGCATGTACACATTTGCTGTAGCATGGATCCTGTTTTTTCCACATTGGGTTATGGAATCACTTAGCCTTAAGTACTATTAAAGTTCAGTGTCCGCCTTCGTTGTCTTTGAGCATCCTCTGGCCTCCCTTTCTTGTGTGTGTGTGTGTGTGTGTGTGTGTCAGGGAGAGACGATACAAAATCTATAATATAATTTAGTCCGTGTGTGTACAGCGGCGAGTATGAACACCTTGCAATTAACATTTTTGCCTTTAAAATGTGATCTGATTCTCATCTTAAGCCCCGAACTCTAGAAATAGAAACAGACAGGCCCATGTGTACACCCGCCTGTCCAACAGAAGCCGGCTGAACAGCCTGCTTTTGTCGTATAGGTATGCTGGAAAACCAGCATCCGGTCGGTGCTGGCTGCCTGCGCTGACCAGTGTTTTCTGGCAGGGGCAGTCCTAGTTCCCTTTCAGAACACGAGTTCAGCGGGGAGATCGCTGTACTAACATCGGGTAATTAGTACAGTAAGCTCCTCCCAAGTGCTTCAGGTCTCTGTTGGTTTTTTTTTTTTCTTTTTTTTCGTTGCTGGGTTGAACGAAATTAAAACTGATGGTGTGTACCCAACATAAGTCACAATGGGCAAGCGCAATGTGCTTAAGCTGATAGCACACAAACCATTCTAATTTCTTATGTCTTTATTGCACACATCCATTAAACATTCATAGTGCTGGAGGAAAAAAGTGAACCCATAGGCTAATTACTTGAACGAAAGCTAATTGGAGTCAGTAGTTTGCACATATGGAGTCCAGTTAATGAAGTTAGTTTGGAGGTGAGGTATGAAGCTACTTTGACAAGACACTCAAACATTTCAAGATTGCTGTTCCTAAGAATCCTCAGCTGATGTGAACCATGCTTTGTAAAAAGGCGCTTTCTGAAGACATACGATCAAGAGTAGTTGATCTGCGTAAGGGTGGAAAGAGATACAAAGCAATCCCAACGTGTTTAGGCATCCATTAGTCAACAGTTAGACAAATTGTCTAAAGGCTTAAGTACATCACTGGAACTGGCAAACATCCCTGTTCATGAGTCTACCATATGTATGTAGGTCTTTGAGCATGCAAGGTGTCCAAGGTGTAACAACACAGAGGAAGCCACTGCTCTCCCAAAACAACATTGCTGCTTGCCTGAAGTTTGCCAAAGAGCACCTTGGCAAACCACAACACTACTAGGAAAATCTTTTGTTGACTCATGAAACAAACGTTTGTTCGGGAGGAGTGCTCAGCGCTATGTAAGGCACAAGAGGGACACAGCTTACCAACATCAGAATATCATTCCAACAGTGACATATGGTGGAGAGAATTTGGGCTTGCTTCGCTGCCTCAGGGCCTGGACCACTTGCCATCATTGAGGGGAAAAGAAATTGCTAAGTTTACCAAAATATCCAACTGGATAATGTCAGGGTGGCTATCTGCCAGCTGAAGTTTAGTAGAAGTTGGGTGATGTGCCAAGACAGTGACCCTAAACATCAAAGTAAACCCTCCAGACTGGCTTCAATAAAAGTCAGATCCCAGACCTTAACCCCCCAAGAGATGCTGTGGAATGACCTCCAGAGAGCCGTTCACACTGGACATCTGCAAATGTGTCTCAGTTGAAGCAGTTTTGTAAAGAAAAATGGTCAAAAATTCCTCTTAAAGTTTGTGCAGGTCTGATTCAGAGCTACCAAAAGTGCTTGTTTGAAGTCATTGCTGCCAAAAGAGGATGGATCAGCTCTTAGTGTTACTAAACCCACAACCGTAAAATCAGTCTGTATATACAGTAAAGCATGCTTGTTATACTTGCTGTGGAACCTAAGGGGTTAATCCTCTGCATTGTGTAAAAAGGCTGTTTGATCCTGTCTTCTGATCTTCCCCTTCTTCCAGTGTCCCCCTCTTATTGCCTGATAAGACATATTGTGTGGAGTCACACTGGACATGTTCAGTTTGGTGTGTATTACTAGGTTTTTTTTTTTTTTCCTCTTGGGAGAGTGCATGTATATGCAGTAAAGCATGCTTGTTATACTTGCTGTGGAACCTAAGAGTTAATCCTCTGTAATGTGTCAAAAGGCCATTTCTTGTTGTCTTCAAGCCTTGTCTTCTCTGTCCCCATCTTATCTCCTGATAAGACAGACTGAACCTAGCAATTCTGCACATGCTCAGTTTAGTGTGCATGGGAGAGTGCATGTGATCAACACAGGGCTAATCAGCACTGTCCAGACAGGTCAGGGGTTCTGCATCCTCCTACATCAAAATTAAAGCACCTCCTACAAGCTTTAATGTGCTCTGCTTTACACTGATAGAAGTCACAAGACTGCTCTAACTGCTGATGAGAAAGGTATTTAGCAGTTTTATATTTACTAAAATAATTTTATTTCCATGTTCTGTGTACTGTGGGAGACCAGATATAGTGAATGCAGGGTCCTGGGTTTAGTAACACTTTAACTCCAACAGTTCACTATATTTTCCTCCAGCACTGTGAATGTTTAATGGGTGTATTCAATAAAGACATGAAATTAGACTTGTTTATCAGCTTAAGCACATTCCCTAAAATTCCTAAAGACTGGGGAAGGCAGTTTTTGTGAAGTGTCTTGTGGTGAATGTGCCAAATTTATGTACCCTTTGAGAATTTTTTGTACTTGAGTCTGGCTGACGCTGCACAATTTTTGCAAAATCTGTCCAAGAGCCGGTTCACACTATAGAAATGCAGTCCAGATGCGTTCCGGATGAGTTTTTGCATTTGCTTTTTTGGCACGTTCCAGTGCTTTGCTTTTTTTTTTTTTTTTTTTTTTTGTTCTGACACTGCAAGCACTGATGTGAACTATGACTGACAACCATATAACCTACTTTCTGTGCATTTTGGATGCAGAAACAAAGCAACTGAAGCGTATATAGTGTGAGCTAGCCCTGAGCTAGTTTTTTTTTCTCTGTAAAGAAAGTTGGTCTTAATTAGCTCCACTTTTACATTGTGTCGCATTGAATGCACCAAATGTAAAAGTGGTCCATCAATGCGGCACAATGTAAAAGTGGGGCATTTTATCACTTTATCTGCATTTGTGCATCAGTACGAGTCGTTGTCAGAATCAAAAATATTGTAAAATGCTTCATGAATTTGATACAATACATTAACAAGGAATTAATGCCAGGAAAGTGGTGCAGCAGCTTTATTGAATTCCCCCAACTGTTTGTCTATAATGAATTAGATGATCAGATCACATTTTATGGCAAATTACTGCAGAAAACCAGCTAATTCCAAGGGGCTAACAGTGTTTGTTTCTCAACATTTTTCCCAGTCGGCATCCTTGCAAATTATTTTCAATCTCGAGGTACCCTAGTTAAGGCTTGGATCACACTACTGCACGTTGGAGTGCACACAAAATCGCATGCATCCCCAACATACACACAAATGCGCACACAAAGAGCGCGATTAATTCCTGTTACTCCCATGCGTTAGCAAATGCAGTACGTTTTTGGTGTGGCGCAATTTGAAAAAAAAAAAAAAAACTGTTTGGGAAGTATGGCCAGATCACACCAGGGCGTCTCAAAAACAGATTGCAAATGCAGTGTGTTTAAAGGCACCAGATTGCATGGTACCGCAGTACCATGTGGTTTGGTGCAGAGAGTTTTTGAAAAGTATGCATGGGCTGCAAAATCAACTGCACGTTCCCTTCTCTGCTAACTGCAACCTGCAATCCCACTCTGCCCCCCTTTGGACCTCAATCCCCCTGCTAATCTTTACCCCAGAACCCTTCTGCTCACCTCTACACTGCAATCCCCACCCCCTCTCCTCACTTAGATACCCTGAATCCCCCTCTCTGGTCACCTCCATATTCCAAAATCCCCATCTCTACTCACCTCTGTACCCTAAACCCCCCTCCCATTCACCTCCTCATCCCCTCTATTCACCTCTGTACCCCAAAACCCATCTGCTCACCTCCACACCCCAAACCCCTCTTTGCTCACCTCCACACCCAGTCTCTGCTCACCTCCACACCCAGTCTCTGCTCACCTCCACACCCATGTTTCTGCTCACCTCTACACCCCAAATACCCCTGTTAGCACTCCTATGTACACCACTCTCCCTGCTAAGCGCTGCAAGCTAATCTCCACCCTCCCTTTTGATCTCCTTTGTGCCCTGCTTTCCACTCACCAGAGCCTCAGGGCAGATTGATCTTCTATTACAATCCACACAGCTGTGGATGGTGCTGGCTGGGTACTGTCCTGTAGGGGAGGGCAGAGAGCTCAGGGTTCAGAAAGCTGCCTCCCCCTGCCACTGCTTTGTACTATATTGTACCGACCCAGCTCTTGCTTGTGATATTCGGCAGAGCAGGCGTTCAGTCAGATCTGACAGTGTTTTTTTTGTTTTTCAAGCACGATGCCACAGCACCCCTGAGGACCTCAGCCAGCACCCCGATTGAGAAACTCTGGGCTAACATACTGTGTTTTTGTGTATATACATAAAATCTATCAGAGACAACAAGCCTGTGCTCGGAGACTTGCTGGGTATCAAGGTGAAAGAACTTTAACTGTATGACCTAGTCATTCTAGCAGGTTGTGACATTTAGTCAACAAGACAGTAAATTGTATTTTGGTAGATTGCTTTTGTGGCTTTACTCCATATGTATTCATATTTTAGGTACACAATTATCAAGGACCAGCCCGTATAAGGATATCCTTGGTAACTAAGGATGCCCCTCATAAACCACATCCCCATGAACTGGTTGGAAAGGATTGCAAAGATGGATATTATGAGGCTGACTTGTCATTAGATCGCAATATTCACAGGTAACTATCTACGTCTGACTTTATTTTTTACCAATCTTTTATATTTGAAAACTTTTTTTATTTTTTTTGTTTGCTTTTAATATGGAAAACACGGTGGGTGTATTTTCGCACAGCTTTCACCCTGGATTCTAGTGTTTTTGGGTATGAGACAAAGGCCTCCTCACAATTTAGAGCTTTGATGTGCTAAACAAGAAATAGTTGGTGTATATAATTTGCAAATACACATCATCCACAAAATATCTTAAAGTGGAACTTCACTCTCTCAATCAACATAGACAATTTTTAGATCCTATGCTGCTAGCATTCGTAAATGGATAGAGAAGTATATTATATTTTTATGCTCCCTTTCATTTTTTTTTTTTACATTTCTTCAGTTGCTACCATGTTTCCAGGCCTATGATTTCATACATCCCAGCAGTCTTCAGGAGGGGAGGGTTCTCAGCTCAGTCAATGACTGAGCAAAGGGCAGATGGATGCCAGGGTGTAAATGCTAAATGAATCATCTGCCTTTACTCAAGATGGCCACTGCCAGAAATGCCAAGGGTTATTTTTCAGCTAAATAAAGCATGGAGACACAAATGGATGAGTGAGTTTGCTTTGAATATTAACAATTAAATAGCAATTTTGGTTTGTGGTGCTCAGATTCAGTGCAGTTATACTTTAAACCAAAAGAGAAAACAAAACTGGGGCATGGCAGATTTTTAGGGTGCATCCCAAACAAATTTCCGCATTCTTTTAGTAAAAAAAAGTCACTTTATTAACATAATAAATGCATAGTTAAAAACAAATTAATGGATTTAGATGTCCCTAAGAGAAACTCCTCCTATCCCCCACTACTGAGGTACAGCCAACTTATTTTATAATGAATTACATTCCACAAGTAATTTCCAATATCTATTAGGGGGAAGGAGGACCTCCAATTTTCAGTGCAGTTTGCAGAAGCTTCAGCTTCTTAAGGAGAGGGAACAGGGGAGGCAGTAGGTTTGATGTCTCTGAAAGGTGATTCCCCAAACCTTGTTTTTTCACATGTATCTATGTGAATTTTCTCTACAATTTAAATGACAAAATCATATTGAAAATCTATGAGGGTCATAGAAAGTCTCATACTTTTGGGTTATATTGCCCCCTACAGGAGTATTGGACACTGGCGAACTAAAAAAAAAAATGTGGGTCAACCCAGAGTAACCCTAGGGCAGGCCATTGAAATGAATGTTAGGAGTAAAAAAGTTAGGAGTAAAAAAGTTAGGAGTAAAAATGTTAGGAGTAAAACATACAGCAATAATATAAAAAAAATGAAGGAGATAATCCACAAAATGATGGAAGTTTCTTGAAAACAATCTGTGATAAACACAGCAAAAATGTTCAGAGAAAGTACTTGAATTTCACCAAAGATAAGAAATAGTAAATATGCAGAGTTTTTCTAGAATGTGATTACTTTAGTGCTCCACCACCACTGGGGTCTTTCTAACAATGTAAGACCTCTTGCACATGGATGTCTAAGCCCATGCAACTTAAATTCTGGCATATTTATCATCCTACCTGGAAAGTCCAGGAGCTGTGTAAAGCCGTCCATAGACATGAGTGGCTGTACTCTGGTGCACTCAACTGCATATTAAAAGATTTTACATGAGCAGCAAAGTGCACAAGCGGAAAATATACACCTAACCATCAAGCCAAGGGGGGTAAGTAGGCCTGCTGTCCTAGAGGATTCCCAGAAACAGTTACTGGTAAGTGTAACTGGAATTTTCTCCCATCATCTTCCAGGACAGCAAACCTGAGAGGAAAAGCAAGTAATCCAGGCCTACCATAGGGTGGGACCACTGCCTGTACGACCTTCCTGCCAAATGCCAGGTCCTGCTGCAAGAGAACCTCCACTCTAGAATGCCTGATGAAGGTATCTTGGCTGGACAATGTGGCTGCTCTGCAGATCTGGTTCACTGATGCCCCTGTCTTCTCCACTCAGGATGCAACTAAGGATCTTAGTGGAGTGGACTCATAAAGATGGAATCAAAGATCTCTAAATCTTGTAGGTTGGAGAGATCGACCCCCTAGCGACACTACTTTGGTTAAGTAAAGGAAAGGCTCCTTTACAGACATAACTTGCAGATCCCCTAATCTCCTCACCGAATTCTAATCAATATGGTTGCGTGTATTGTGCTATAGCATGAAGACCATACTGTAGTAAGAATATCTCATAAATACCATACCATAATGATTACTCCATGGGGTATATGTTTTACAATGAAAGGTGATTGTATAACATTCATCAATGGTAGCTGATTGGAACCATGTCCTATAACCCTAACCAGCTTCAAGTACAGGAAGTATATATAGTATGCCTGAATGTGAGGGATTGGGTTTTCTGCTGCCCGAAGTCTCAGCAGCCAGAACCCAGGAGCCATCCATGTATATATAAAAAGGAAAAATAAAAAGCGTAGTTTAAATTACTGGTAACGGTATTTTTTAGAAGTCTTTCAGGACAGCACCTGGAGAGAGCATAGCTCCACCCCAATTCCCAGGAACACTTCGGCAGGATATTTAAAAGTCGCACACTTCCATGACCTCAGTTTGCAGAAGAGTACCTCTAGCCATGCTGGAAGACCAAACACAATACAACATACCCAAAAACATAAGAGCATGTAGTAGCTGGTGTCTTGAGACTTCTAGAAATACCGTCATTGATAAGTTTAACTATGGTTTTCCCTCATTGTCTTCAGGACAGCACCTGGAGATCAGTACTTACCCTTAGTGTGGGACAACTGCTTGTAGGAAATTTCTGCTAAATGCCATCTCCTCTGCTGACAAAAGATCCATCCGGTAATGTCCGATGAATGTGGAAAAATTTGACCGCCTTGCATATTTGCTCAGGAGAAGCACTAGCCCTCTTGGTGCAGGATGCTGCCACCGCTCTGGCAGAATGAGCTGAAATACCATCTGGGATTTCTAGACCCAATGCTACATAGGCTTGCTAATTTTAGCCACCTCCCCAGAGTGGCTTTTGTGTCCTTCAGACCCATGCGGCCAACATAAAAGACAAATCACTTACCCTTCTGAATTGTTTTGAAATTTTCTAGGTACTAAATCACACACACACTTTTCATATCCAGGGTATGAAGGGCTTCTCCAGCACAGGCTGGAGCCAGACAAAAGGGAAGAATAATATCCTATGTCTGATGAAAGGCCATATGTACTTTAGGCAGAATACCTGGCTCTGTCATGGGCAAAAAGGGCTTGCAAATTGACAAATCCTGAAGTTTATAATCTCTGCAAGCCAACGTAAGGCTACTGTCACACTGATCTGCCACAAGAGCGCATAGGTGTTTTTTACCGCACTTTTGCCGTGCTTTCTGAGTGTTTTTAAAGGACTCGTGACTTAAAAACTGCACTAACAATGCTTCTAAGTGGCGTTTTGGAGGCGCTCTTCAGGCATTTTCCATTGATTTCAATGGAAAGAGGTGTTTCGGGTGTTTTTTTTTTTTTAATCCCCAAAGATGCTTCAAGCAGGAGTTTTCACACCGCAAGCGCAACGCCTCAGTGTGAAAACATATATAGATATACATTCACATACATAGGGAAGCGTTTTTCTTGAGCTTTTCAGGCGATTTTTTTTTTTTTTTTTTTTTTTTTTTTAAATGCAAAAACACTTAAAAAAAACTCCTCAGTGTGAAAGTAACCTAACTGCTACTAGATGTGCCATCCAAGTCATCTTTAAAGATACCTCTTCCAAAAGTTCAAAAGGACACTTAGTGAGTTCTTTGAGGTTTTATTTCTCCAAATAGGATTTGTCAATTGTTTTCAGAGGCACTAGCCAGGATCTGGCCAGAGCCTTAAAGAACCTTGTACTTAGAGGGTCCTGTGACAACGTACTTTAAAGAAAGAAAGGGTGCTTCGGGATAATCCCATCACCATGGAGAAATTCAAACACTCAAACCATATCTCAAGGGGCGAACCGTTAGCCCACACCACAAACTGATACACTTGAAAATTTTGAACCATATAGCTCTCATGACGTCTTACCTGCTGGTTAACATGGTGGCAATGAGGTTGTCTGATACACCTCTTCTCAGTAGCTCCTCTTCAGAAACCAGGCTGCTAATTTGAGATGACTGATTTTTGGATGGCAAAGTGGCCCAAGCATCATCAGAGCCTTCTTGACTGGTAGAACCCAAGGAGACTCCGTTGACAGACTTAGGAAAGTCAAAAACCACAGCCTTTTGGTTGAGAATGGAGTTTTCAGAATCAAAGCCTTGGACTCCTGAAACATTTTTAGGACCAGAGGAATCAACTGAAAAGGCAGAGAACAGCATAGCACAGTTAGTAAGTCCATGGATGGGCTAGAGTATCTATTCCCACTGCCTGACCAATTCTGCAGAGGGAAAAGAATTTCTGCACCTTTGTGTTTGACTAATTTAAGAATAAATCTACCTGGGGAGGACCCAAAGCATCTGAAATCTGAAAGATCTCCTTATTTAAGATCAGTTCAGCCACTAGAATCAGCTCTCTGTTTAGGAAATCCATTTTGTATTCCCCTTCAGGTGTACTGCTGTTAAGGAGGCTAGATTCCTCTCTTCCTGTGTCAGGATCTGTTCTGCCAGGATTAAAGAGTACTGCTTCCGGTGTAAGCAGTTTTATTATTGCAGTTTTGGTTGAAAGCAGTATACAATGTTATATTAGTAGATATATCAGACAGATGACAAGCACAGTGAAGTATTCCATAAGATTTTTTGACCGTTAGTCAGCTGTGTATTATACGGTCAGGTCCATAAATATTGGAACATTGACACAATTCTAACATTTTTGGCTCTATACACCACCACAATGGATTTGAAATGAAACGAACAAGATGTGCTTTAACTGCAGACTCTCAGCTTTAATTTGAGGGTGTTTACATCCAAATCAGGTGAACGGTGTAGGAATAACAACAGTTTGCATATGTGCCTCCCACTTGTTAAGGGACCAAAAGTAATGGGATAATTGGCTTCTCCGCTGTTCCATGGCCAGGTGTGTGTTCCCTCATTATCCCAATTACAATGAGCAGATAAAAGGTCCAGAGTTCATATCAAGTGTGCTATTTGCATTTGGAATCTGTTGCTGTCAACTCTCAAGATGAGATCCAAAGAGCTGTCACTATCAGTGAAGCAAGCCATCATTAGGCTGAAAAAACAAAACAAACCCATCAGAGAGATAGCAAAAACATTTAGGCGTGGCCAAAACAACTGTTTGGAACATTTTTACAAAGAAGGAACGCACCGGTGAACTTAGCAACACCAAAAGACCTGGAAGACCACGGAAAACAACTGTGGTGGATGACCGACAAATTCTTTCCCTGGTGAAAAAAACACCCTTCACAACAGTTGGCCAGATCAAGAACACTCTCCAGGAGGTAGGTGTATGTGTGTCAAAGTCAACAATCAAGAGAAGACTTCAGAGTGAATACAGAGGGTTCACCACAAGATGTAAACCATTGGTGAGCCTCAAAAACAGGAAGGCCAGATTAGAGTTTGCCAAACGACATCTAAAAAAGCCTTCACAGTTCTGGAACAACATCCTATGGACAGATGAGACCAAGATCAACTTGTACCAGAGTGATGAGAAGAGTATGGAGAAGGACAGGAACTGCTCATGATCCTAAGCATACCACCTCATCAATGAAGCATGGTGGTGGTAGTGTCATGGCGTGGGCATGTATGGCTGCCAATGGAACTGGTTCTCTTGTATTTATTGATGATGTGACTGCTGACAAAAGCAGCAGGATGAATTCTGAAGTGTTTCGGGCAATATTATCTGCTCATATTCAGCCAAATGCTTCAGACCTCATTGGACGCCGCTTCACAGTGCAGATGGACAATGACCCAAAGCATACTGCAAAAGCAACCAAAGAGTTTTTTTAGGGAAAGAAGTGGAATGTTATGCAATGGCCAAGTCAATTACCTGACCTGTATCCGATTGAGCATGCATTTCACTTGCTGAAGACAAAACTGAAGGGAAAATGCCCCAAGAACAAGCAGGAACCGAAGACAGTTGCAGTAGAGGCCTGGCAGAGCATCACCAGGGATGAAACCCAGCATCTGGTGATGTCTATGCGTTCCAGACTTCAGGCTGTAATTGACTGCAAAGGATTTGCAACCAAGTATTAAAAAGTGAAAGTTTGCTTTATGATTATTCTGTCCCATTACTTTTGGTCCCTTAAGAAGTGGGAGGCACATATGCAAACTGTTGTAATTCTTACACCGTTCACCTGATTTGGATGTAAATACCCTCAAATTAAAGCTGACAGTCTGCAGTTAAAGCACATCTTGTTTGTTTCATTTCAAATCCATTGTGGTGGCGTATAGAGCCCAAAATTTTAGAATTGTCGATGTCCCAATATTTATGGACCTGACTGTAAATGTAGACAAACTAACACCAGCATAAACTCCAATGTTCTAAATTTATGATGTGCAGCAAGAGAAAACAATACAACATAGACAAAACTCCACAAACATCAACTTCAGTGTTGTGTATTTCTGATCGTCAGCAAGATAAACCAATATCACATAAATATAAACCATGTAACACAAGTATAAGCTCCCATGATGTGCATTTCTGATCTGCAGCAAGAGAAACCAATACAGCACAACTGCAGAGGCATAGTCAGTAATGTTGTATTTATCTTAGGTGTTGCTGATTGTTGGGTATTTCTAACAACATGGGTATGACCTGGCTATCAATCCCCTATACATTTGTCCAGTGGAGAAACTCTGAGAGCTCCAGGTGATAGAAATTTAGGATTAAGCACATGAACTGGCATGCGTAGTAGATATTCATAACCCATAACAGATACAGCATCCCACTTCCTAGACCTGAGCATAGGTTTTGGTTGAAATAGAGACAACTATGTCACCCTACTTTTGCATATATAGTCTGAATATACAGTGATTCCTCCAGTATTCTGAAGTATGAGTAGGTTTATCTAGCCCATACTCAGGTGGGAGATAGCCCTGCATAGAATGCATGAGGTGAAAAACCTTGAGCTTTTAGAAATACTTTAAACACAGGTTTGTAAAAGTAGCCCATGCAAAGAGGGTTGCTCTGGGGGTGTATCAATTAAATGTTTCAGGATCACATTTTATATATCTAGTTCAGCCTAATGCAGGCCATACGTGGGTTGAATTCTGAACTAATTTTCTTTAGAAAATCGGAAATTTTGTGCGTTTTGTAATCCAATGGTGCCACCATTGATTTCGGAATTCAACCAACCAAGCCCTCAATTTCACCTCTTGCCACAGAAAAGAGTTTTCATGCCCAAGAATTTTCTTTTCTTTCCAGGTTACAGCTCATGTTCACTTCTTTTTCATTTATGTTTCCCACACGATTCTCCCATCACTGATTTTGAAATTTGTTTGGTTTTCAAAAAATTTCCAATATGTCCGATCACTCAAATTCGATGGTCACATGAAAATCGTCCGTTTCTGTGACCCACTAATAGTGCAAAATTTGAATGAAAATTCTTTCGGAATTTGATCCATGTATGGCCAGCTTAAGGGTGAGCTGTAGCCCCAAAACCAAATCTAAAATGTCCTGATTAACTCACTAGGCTGCCACCTTTCCTTGCTGCAAAAAGGAGGTTGAAATTGATGGTAAAATGGAGTAGGCAGACCCCAGTACTCCAGCATTTATAATAGCATATTGATAAGGATTTAATATGTTGAGCTTTTTGCACCCACATTTAGGTAGGTGGTCGTATCTAAGTGCATAAGAACCACCTGGCTCCGTTAGGGACTCTGTTCGCAAATCCCTAGGCACAGTACTCGTGACTTTTGGTCTTTTCCTTTGTCACAGCCACTGACTTGCCTTTCCATCCGTGGAGTCGATAGAGGAGGGTACTGGCTAAAATCACTCTCAAACCCTCTCCTGGAGAGCTGCAAAGTTTCAGTGTGTACCGGTTTGTACTCTTCCACCACAGCCAAAAGCGAGGCCAGGAGCACAATACACCACCAACATGCACCCCTCTCCAGAGATGCAAACATTCCAAAATGAAGGAAAGAACAGGGCTATGAAAGTCAGAGTGCTTCAGGAGTCAAATCCCTATCCAGACCGGGTTCGAGATCCTGAAACACTAGGGGAAAACTCCTGAGTCACCATGGAAAAGTTTACTGCTGCTCAGCTTTACAGATGCTCTCAAAGGGAGTTCTTCTGACCCAACTTGCCATCTGGTTAGGAGAAAAACAACAAACATTGTGCTGCCTGCTGGTAGGAAACGGTCTAAACTGGGTGACAAGGTGGGTGGGAGGGGGATTTTCACGGCTTGTTTTTATTTCCTGTTAGGGAGGAGCCAGCCAGGTTTGCTGTCCTGGAAGATGATAGGAGAAAACTATGTTTATGTACGGTTATGCCCATCTTAGACAGGATATGGTCTGTTAATCACTATGCAAGTTGGGCTGTTTGCAAGCTTTAATTATGCTGGCCTGTAGGAAAGTTAAATAGTCTCATAATCTCAGTAAAGAGAGAGTGACACAGACATATGGTTTTTATATTTGTGTGTGTGTGTGTGTGTGTGTGTGTGTGTGTGTGTGTGTGTGTATATATATATATACTATTTATTTTTTTCCCTTTTTTTTTTTTTTTTTTTTTTTTTTTCTTAGTTTCCAGAATTTGGGCATTCAGTGTGTTAAAAAGAGAGAAGTTGAGGAAGCCATTGCCCAACGAGTACGGACGAATAATAATCCCTTCAATGGTAAATCATGTTGATATTTTTGACTATATAAATATTCTGTGTATATGTCACTAAACTTGAAGCTGATATATTGGTTTTGCATGTTAGTCTGTTTTAACCACTTGCTCTCCAGAGGATTTACCCCCCTTCCTGACTAGGCCATTTTTTGCGATGCGGCATTGCGTTATTTTAACCGACAATTGCGCAGTCATGCAACATTGTACATAAATGAAATGTATGTCCTTTTTTTCCAACAAATAGCGATTTCTTTTGGTGGTATTTGATCACCTGTGCGTTTTTTGTTTTTTTTTTTTTTTTTTTGTTTTTTTTTTTTTTTTTACATTTTTTATTGTTTTTGTGCCATCAACAAAAAGACCGACAATTTTGGAAACAAACTATTTGAAAATCCCAAAACGTGTAAATTGGTTTACGTGGAAGCTATAGCGTCTACAAATGGCAGTATATATACTGGAATTTTAATTTTATTTTACTAGTAATGGCGGCGATCGGTGACTTAAAGCGGGACTGTGGCGGGCATTCTGACACTGGGTGGCAACTGACTAACTGCCACTGACATCCCCAGTGACACTAATACAGTGATCTATGCTAATAAAAAGCACTGACACTGGACTAATGACACAGGGCAGGAAGGGGCATCTGGGGCGATCAAAGGGTTAACTGTGTGCTGTTTTACAGTGTGCTGTGTCTGTTTTACTGTGTAGTCAAGCTGCTTTGTATTGCTCTGCTGTTTGTTCTGACAGGGGGAAAATCTGTATTGTTTGCGTACAGATCTCTCCCCTGTCAGCTCCGCCAACGATCACCGAGTCCCAGCCAAGAATTGGCAGTCGGGACCTGGTGATTGACATGCCGAGGAGCCAATAGCGGTGCGAATAGGGAGCATGTATTTTTTTGGTTTTTTTTAATTGAGAACTTAAATGATGGGATATCTTTACTGGAATTGCCACTTGCATTGATTTGCCATGACCCTAACAAAGCCAGGTAGTGTGCTGTCACAAAATACGGATATGTTGAAAAGTAGACCCATTAGATATACACTGCATCCTCCGCAGGCCTCTGACATTTCTCTCTGACCATGCTGAAGGTAACCATGCTGGTCCAATCTAACTTTAAAAGAAAAAATTATATTTGACTGCTTGTTGCATAGGTCTATTGCTCAGGATTTTCTTTTCTTCCACCACTGGTAGAAAATCGTTCGATACCCCCATCAACAGTCGTTGCTGATGGTGCAATCCTTCTCGCAGCTCTATTGTGTTCTGCCAGCTGGGAGCCTTCCCTGCCAGCAGAACACAATGATTACTGCTAGCGGCTAGAGCTGCCAGCAGTATTCACATGTAGACAATCCAGCGGGTTGGTTGTACCCAAGTCGATCAGTGGATTGACTTGGGTACAACCAGCCTGCTCATAGATGGGTTGAATCTCGGTCAGTCCCTACTGAACCAGCTGAGATTCGATCCATCGATGGCCAGCTTTAGAAACTTTAGTTTCCAGAGGCCTAACAGCTGTACTGCCTCTCTCTCCCTGACCATGAATTAGATGGAACTTCGTAACCTGTTCGAGGATGAAATAAAGCAGCGGTCTGCAGACTTTCTAAGCAAAGAGCCAGTTTACTGTCTTTCAGACTTCACGGGGGCTGGACTGTGGCCAGTGGGAGTAGAAAATGCCCCGGCATCAGTGCCTTATAATTGGTTTTACTGGGAGTGATATTTGCAGTGAGAAGAATAGTGCCCCATTGATGGTGTCAGTAGGGGGAATAGGTCTCCATCATTGGTGTCAGTTGGTGGCATAGTGCCCCAAGGGCCAGATACAGGCAAGCAAAGGGCCACCGTGTGAAGACCACTGAAATTTAGGAAAGCAAAGTAGACGCAGATATTTTTGTGGTATCTACAGAGGAATATGCAACCCTTACATTTCATGAGCCACAAGCTATGGCCTCTTGACATTTGCTTTCCTCTGTGGGCACACTGATTGAAATGGTGTAAACTAGTCTTTACATAACAGCAACTTAATTATTCACATCTGAAACAAGCCCTTATGGGCACTAAAAGGCTAGAAAAATAATCCCAAGTCACCTCATTTCAGCATTTTTATGTTTTTGGAGAAACTGATCACTCTCTGGCATGGTGCAATTCCAACTTGACTCTGGTGTCGGGAAAATAATCCTTCCCATGCCCTAGAAAGTGGTAACAATGCCTGCCAGCTTTATGGGCTGAAGGGGAGTTTACAGCTTCCTAACTGTCCAGGGGATCAGGTCCCCGGAGGAGTCGACACTTCAACATTCTGAAAACGCTACATCACTAAAAACTGTCTTTTACAAGGTCACCCAGACAGGGTGAAAGCAAACAGTGCCACAGCAATGACCTATGTAAACTATTAGGAGGGCACCAGAGGTTGTTGCCCTAAAAAAAAAAATTAAACTTAACACTCTCTTGGAAGAAAATTCATATTCCGTTTCTCTCTGCCATCCACATTCCTGGCATTGACAGTTGACAGGCGAATTTCATAAGCTGAAAATGCCTAGACCTGGGGGAGTGATCTTTTCACCCCAAGATCTTCCAGAATCTCTGTCAATGTAGGGGAACACCAGATGTGGACATCCTTGCCTCCAGGCTTAACAAGCTAGACGGGTTCATAGACAGGACCATGGACCCTGTGGCCTTTGTAGTAAATGAGCTGGTGGTTTCTTGAACTCCATTCAGACTGATCTATGCCTTCCCTCCAGTACAGATTCTTCCTTAATTGCTGCACAATATAGTTGAAGAAAAGGTTCCTGTGAAGCTCATGACACCAAATTTACCCAGTAGGACATGGTACAGAGACATACCGATACTTTTGGCTGAAGAGCCTTGGCCTCTTCCAACCAGACCTAGCAATGCAGGGCTTCCTACTGCAAACTGCTTTAAAATTGCTGGCTAACTGCATATCTGTTAAAACACAGGTCCAGTATAGGGGTATCTCTGACTCTTATTCCCTTTTTACTCAGAGTGGGAAAAATCGACCTCCTGCAAGATCTACCATTGTACATGGAAGGCGTACTTTGCCTGGTGCAAGGATGGAGAACTGAGCTTTAGAGAATACTTATATGTTGGCCATTCTTCAGTCTAGTCTTGACCAGCGTTTGGCCTCATGTACCCTTAAGGGACAGGTCTTAGACATTCTATTCCCAAAACTTCTTTGCAGTGTTTAAGACCTTTCTTCAGGGAGTTGCGCATAACAATTTCCCAATTTATTCCCCCTTTCCAATGATGTTTTGGGATCACAAACTGGTACTCTGTGCTTCAGAAACCCTTCTTTGAACTGATTAGATGTCCCCTTGGGAGATATCACATGTAAGTTGCTTTCCTTGTTGGACGTGTTTCTGAGCTTGAGGCCCTTTCTTGTATAAAGCCTTTCCTCATATTGCACAGATGCAAGGTTGTCTTGAGATTAATACCTTCTTTTCTACCAAAGATGGTCTCTCCCTGCCACCTTAATGAGGATATTGTTCTTTTTTCTCTGTCCTTCTCCAAAACATGCCAAGAAAGTTTCCCTACACCGCCAAGCTGTCTTGAGTCTTCCTGGCAATCTCAGTTTGTTTGTTTTTTGCAAAACAGTCCCATTTTTGTCCTGCCTGCAGACTCCCGCAGGGGTGTGGAAATTTAAAAACAAAAGTACTTGTCTAAGGGACTAAATTGGGGTCCCAATCTACTTGTCCCTCATGACAATCTACTTGTCTTGATAAAAAAATAAAATTTTCACAGAATGGAAAATATGAAGGGTTGATCTTTATTAGGCAGAGGTGCTTTTAGTAATAACTGGGGCTTTTAAAAACGAAAAGGGACATTATGTTGACTTAAACTTTTAATCTTTAGTTTTTTTGCAGAGTATTTCTTAGAACCCCCAAGTGTGTGTGTGTGTGTATATGTATGTATGTATGTATGTATATATATATATATATATATATATATATATATATATATATATATATATATATATATATATATATATATATATATATATAATATTATTATTGTTTTTTTTATTTATTTATTTTTTTTAACACCTCCCTTCTGACAGCAATAGGCAGTAACAGGTACTCCTTATGGAGAGATCTGGGGTCAATAAGACCCCAGATCCTTCCTCTGCCCTTAAAAGCATTTGATCACACCAAAATCGGGTGATCAAATGCTTTCTATTTTTAAAAATGGTGCTGAAGAAACCGGTGCTGATGTATGCTCATTTCTTCCAGTGTCCTATATCATAGAGGTGGACAGAGTGGCTTTGGTTCTGAGGCGGCTGGTTGATTGTACAGGACAGCCTGCCAGGGCTTTTTTTTTTCCTTTAGAGAATAGGTGCAGGAACTCAACCACACCCTCACTACACTGCTACCTAACAGTGGGAGGATCCTAATGGAGCATTGTTAAATACCAGTAGTTCATACTGCACAGGGCAGGGTTCAGGAATGGTCAAATACAAAAAATTGCAGCGCTTGAGTGTATAATACAGGGAATTAACATGAATAGCAGATTTAAACATTCATATTACAACATGCACCAGATCTCACACTCTTAAATTGTTGTAAACAGTAATCAGATAAGTAATGAAGATCTATCCGACTAATCAAGGTGCCTATAGTGATGGAGATGTTAAAGTCATAAGTTCTGTGATGTATCCAAACAGATCCGTGATTTCCGTGATAGGGGAATAACTGTATAATGCACTAACCAGGTAGCGCAAGTAAATGCGCATTGGAGTATAATGACCTACTCCTGGTCACAGCCAGATGGTCCTCAGCGTGAAGCCCTCAGGAACACCAGTGCACCACTCTTGCCGTCTCCTACCACCAGGGGGAGTGCGCCTCTTTACAATAACACGAAATCACTTTATATCCTCTATCGCCAGGATTGGTGTGCTTTCATATCAGGAGATCATCTCAGGGGCTCAGCAATAAGACCCAAAAGAAAGAAATCTTGATAGTGTAGTATTTTTATTCAAAGGTAAAAAGTAAGTAAGAGAATAGGTGCAGGAACTCAACCACACCCTCACTACACTGCTACCTAACAGTGGGAGGATCCTAATGGAGCATTGTTAAATACCAGTAGTTCATACTGCACAGGGCAGGGTTCAGGAATGCACTGCAAACAGGGTGCAAGGTTCAGGAGTGCACTACATACAGAGTGAAAAGCTCCAGGAGGGCTTGTTCAGGCCTCAGATGCAACCTTAGAACGCAAGGTGCTTCAAGTTTATTGCTTTAGACGTCCCATGTTCTCGTCCCTATGAATACAAGTCCTGTACTGTACTCCAAGATAAGGAAGTTACAGGAAAGTCAAATTCCATTTTTCTGGGAATGGCGCATTAAATCAAAACTATTAGTAAACTGAAAGGTCCGCTTATTGGGCCTGGGCCTCTTCCCCATATACTGTAAAAAGTCACTATATGATAGTACTTAAGAAATGTAACTGAGATAGCCCTGCTGCTCTCACGCTGTATCCTACTAGTAATGCTACACTTTTCTTTCTTTTTTTTTTTTTTTAAATCATTGGCGGAAGAGGGTTTGCATAGAAGTTACTTTTATTAAACTCTCCATTTTTTTCCCCAACAATGCACTTTATTAAATTCTAAAACAATACTTTTTAGTATGTATGTTTGTTAGTGATCACAGTTAGGCATTTATTTCTACCTCTTGTCACATTAAGGCAAAGGTCATCTTGCAATAATAAGTGGCAGCTTACTGTGTCAGTGAAGAAGGGACAAAAAGTGCAGAAAGTTAAGAGGTCTAAACTACATTGACCATTGTTGAAATGATTATTGATAAGTGTATGCATCTGTGTGATCAATATTTTTATAATAAATTGTTTGTTGTGGTTTTCTTTGCAGTACCTATAGAAGATCTTAAATCTGACTTTGACCTGAATACAGTGTGCCTTTGCTTCCAAGTGTACATTCGTGACCCAAATGGAGGCCTGCTTCCTTTGCAGTTTGTGGTTTCTCATCCTATATATGACAACCGTAAGCTTGATCTTTATAAAAATCTACAACATATTAATGGCATATTTGATATCGTGTCCCTATTGCAGAATGTGAGCATTGTAAAGGCTAGGTTCACCTTTCATTAAATAAAAAATAAATGCACATGATTAATGTGCATTTATTTATTTTTTTTACCATGAAGTCTGCAAAGCATTGCATCTGCGATTAGTAGTTTGGGGGTACAATGTCAGGCTTCTGCAGACACTCCTGACAGCTGTCTGCCCGTACCTCTATATGGGCAGACTGCAGGAAGTGTCCATGATCTACCAGAGCGCTCTTCAGTGTTCATTGAAAACTACAAGCTGTCTACAACGGTGCAAGATGGGACTTGTAGTTCATTCATTCATAGATTGCTGTGAAATAATGGTGCAGCTGTGTGGGCAGAGCCCGCACAGCTCCTTTGGTTTTTAAAATAACAGCGGGGAGAGGTTCCCCCGCCTGCTGTCAGTGTGGGATCAGGGCTGCTGCATTAGTAATATGTCACATATTACACGCTAAAGTGTAGGTGTAACGTTACCAAAGATGAACTTATCCTTTTAAGTACAGAAAAAAATCTTTTTATATGAACACATGCTCTGGGCTCTTTTGATGATGCAATTTACCCCACTATTGAAAATGTAGGCTGGTAGCTAGTATGGTCGGACCATGCACAGAATAATATGTATACAATAAGCGGTTTTTGAAATTCAAAAAGGTTTATTGCCCTAGTGCAGGGATTTTGCAACATATGCATGGCAACAACCTTTTGCGTGGTATATGCACTGAAATGCTGATTAGACTCCAAAACTTAGATAGGTTCCACAGCTATGACCATGGCTGCCTGAGAGATCTGTTTGTCTATTGTTACTACATAGTGTGAGCAACTAATTAGGGTTTTTATATTGATAATTTCCAGAAATAGCTGTATCTTAATCATACAATACAGGACACAGGTCTTGCATTCCCAGACCATGGGTTATATGCAGACTACCTTCAGGTGAATGAGCACTGGCAAAAACATGTTAGGACCTCTCATGCTCATATCTGTTTCCACTCTGTGCTATATAGGTTCAGGTCCATGGCTCATCTTTATGGTTCCCATACCCTTGAGTTCCCCTCAGAGATGTGCTCACCATGACAGGTGAAGCTTTGCCCCCCTAATAGGTTCGGTGACGTGGAGAAGGTAAGGCAGGGTTTCCCTGTATTTTGTGATCAGCTCCTGGTTAATAGACAAACCACAGAGCTTAGCACGCTATGCGGTTACATAAGCACTGGAATAAGGAGTTATTCACTTGCTGTGTTACTTGCTGTTAGAAGTGTCTGTTTTTTGGTGCAGTAAGTAATATTTACCTAATTTAAAATTTTGACTTTTTTTGCATTATTTTGTTTTTCCTCTCATTTGGACTTAGGCTCAGAATTAGGACATAGTTTTGACACGCCTCCCAGCTGACTTCCTCCTGCATATCTTGACCCTATCCCCTCACAACTCCTACAACCTCCCTCCCCCCCTCCATCCTACGCTCCCTCACCCACATCTTCAATCTCTCCCTCCGGCACTTTCCCTTCCCCTCTGAAACATGCACACATCACCCCCATACTTAAAAAGCCCTCCCTGGACCCCAATGACCCGAACAACCTCAGACCCATCTCCCTGCTCCCATTTACATCTAAACTCCTTGAGCGCCTAGTCTACGCCCGCCTATGCTCTCACCTCAACGACAACAACCTCCTCGATCCCCTACAGTCCGGCTTCCGTCCCCTACACTCCACCGAAACTGCCTTACTCAAACTCTCCAACGACCTGCTAACCGCCAAAGCTAATGGCCACTATTCAGTGCTCCTACCCCTTGACCTCTCTGCGGCCTTTGACACAGTCGACCACCCCCTCCTCCTCAAAAAACTACACTCCCTCGGCCTCAGAGATTCTGCTCTCTCCTGGCTCTCATCCTACCTGTCACAACGCTCTTTCAGCGTTACCTATAATGCCACCACCTCCCTCTCACTCCCCCTCTCTGTTGGGGTCCCTCAAGGCTCTGTCCTCGGGCCCCTTCTCTTCTCCATCTACACCTCCTCCCTTGGCCAACTCATACACTCTCACGGCTTCAACTACCACCTGTATGCCGACGACACACAAATCTATCTCTCAACCCCCCACCTCACCCCCTCGGTCTCCGCCCGAATCACACACCTGTTGAGCGACATATCAGACTGGATGTCGCTCCACTTCCTTAAACTGAACCTCTCCAAAACCGAGCTTCTTGTCTTCCCTCCAGCCCGGACACCACCCCCCATTGACTTCTCCATCATGTCCAACAACGCCACCATCAAACCCGCCCCGCAGGCCAGAGTACTTGGTGTCATTTTGGACTCCAACCTATCCTTCCAGCCCCAAGTCCACTCTTTAACAAACTCGTGCAGACTCCACCTCCGCAACATCGCCAAAATCCGCACGTTCCTAACCCCAGAAACCACTAAACAGCTCATCCACTCCCTCATCATATCACGACTCGACTACTGCAACTCCCTCCTCACTGGCCTGCCTCGCCGCTGGCTATCCCCGCTTCAGTCGATACTGAATACGGCTGCCAGACTCATTCACCTTTCCAACCGCTCCATCTCCGCCACCCCCCTCTGCCAATCCCTCCACTGGCTTCCGATTGCGCCACGGATCAAATTCAAAATCCTAACGCTGACGTACAAAGCTGTCCACCATACTGCCCCGAACTACATCACTGACCTAATATCCAAGTACCGCCCAGCACGCACACTCCGCTCCTCACAAGACCTCCTTCTCTCTAGTTCCCTGGTTTCCTCCTCCCATGCCCGCCTCCAGGACTTCTCCAGGGTGTCACCCATCCTCTGGAACTCCCTGCCCCAACCCATCAGATTATCACCTACTCTCCTCTCCTTTAGGCGCACCCTGAAAACCCATCTCTTCAGGGAAGCCTATTCCGCCCCCTGCTAACTTGCCGACCTCCTCCACTCTTCCTACCACTCCATCCCCCACAGCTATCTCCTCCTGTGCCACCATCCCCTCCCTCCTAGATTGTAATCTTGAAAGAGCAGGGCCCTCGATCCCCTCATGTTTTGCATTGTATTGGTATTGTTCTGTCCCATGTTCTGTCCCCCTTTGTAATGTACAGCGCTGAGCGAACTATTGGCGCTTTATAAATACTGTATAATAATAATAATAATAATATCCATGGAAAATGTACATTGCATAATTTGCTGCATCTTCTGCTACAGCAGTGTTTCTCAATTCCAGTCCTCATGGACCCCCAACAGGTCATGTTTTCAGGATTTCCATTAGTTTGCACAGGTAATTTGATCAGTTTCACTGCCTTAGTAATTACCACAGCTGTTTCATCTGAGGAAATTTTGAAAACATGACCTGTTGGGGGTCCATGAGGACTGGAGTTGAGAAACACTGCTACAGAGACACAGACACAGGGAAAGATTATCTCTTGATTTATGACTCCTCATTCCTTTCATATCCATTTCACGAGTACTCCCCAATGTTCAGAAGTTGATCACTTTTTCTAGAGCAATATCCTATTACGATACTGCTCCCCTCCTCTGATTCAAGCTCCTTCAAGTGCACACCACACAGCCTGTCTCACAAAGGCAAAATTCTTCTGCTATGTCTGAGTTCTTCAGAATACTTGCAGCACAGAGCCCAAAAACGTAGACTGCTTCTCTCCCCTATGACTTTATTTATGAATCCGAGATGGAACTTCCTAACATGTTTTGAAGATGAAATGGAGGAACATGAAGTAGACACATAAAATGCAGGGGTTGAAAATCCTCTAGAGATTTCGCTACAATATCTGAGGCACAGTCTGGCTTCTTGATATTTGCTCTCCACTGTGGACACGCTGATTGATGTGCTGTAAACTAGTCTGTGCCTTGCAGCATCTGATTATCCATAGCTAAAACTGGCCCCTGTAAGCACTTGCAAAATCAAAAAATACTTTACCTATCCATGCACAAACTGTGCATTATGAGGATTGGTACTGAAAGGATTTTGACTCCTCTTAAAGTGATTCTAAAGGTTAATTTTTTTTTTTTTTGTAACATAACAAACATGTCTATGCAAAACCACTGAACACAGTAGGTAAAGGTGTAGAGCAGCCTGGATCCTCCTCTTTTCGGGTCACCCGCAGGCTCTCCTGGCTCCTCCCATCTGTCGGGTGCCCCCACAGGAAGCAGCTTGCTATGGGGGCACCCGCTGCTCCGGGTGTCTATTCACACATGGAGCCGTGGCTTGGCCCCACCCCCTCTCTCCTCATTGGCTGACAGGCTGTGATTGACAGCAGCGGGAGCCAATGGCTCCCACTTGCTGTCTCAGCCAATGAAGAGGCAGAAAATCGGGACAGCCGAGGTTGTCATTCATATTGCTGGATCACAATGAGGCTCAGGTAAGTATTGAGAGGGCTGGGATAGCTGCTGCACACAGTTTTTTTTACCTTCATGTATTGAAGGCATCAAGGTAAAAAAATCTTGAGCCTTTACAACCACTTTAAGCTTTTTGCTGAAATTTATTTCTTTGGACAAGGAATTTTAGGAAAAAAATGGTCTCTTCTGGTAGTAGATCCTGCCATTTCAGAATTCCATCTTACAGTTCCTACTTAGGATGTTACCTCTTTTTAAGGAGTCTGTTGGTATGCACTTTGAAGCCCTCCTAAAGGCCTCTTGCCACTGCAGGCCCAACCCGTGTATGTGTGTGTATGTATGTGTATATATATATATATATATATATATCATGTGTATGTGTGTACACACACACACACACACACACGAAACCCTAAAAATTAGAGTATCGTGCAAAAGTTCATTTATTTCAGTAATGCAACTTAAAAGATTAAACGAATATATGAGACTCGTTACATGCAAAGCAAGATAGTTCAAGCCGTGATTTGTCATAATTGTGATGATTATGGCTCACAGCTCATGAAAACCCCAAATCCACAATCTCAGCAAATGAGAATATTACATGCAAT